TCCTCTTTCCTTTCCTCCATCCCTTCTAGAATCACAGACTCCTGAGGCTGTAAGGGACCTCAGAGAAAGGGACTTAGTCCAGAGGTCCCCAAACTTGGCCACTTTAAGACTTGTGGACTTCAACTCCCAGAATTCTCCAGCCAGCATAGTTGAAGTCCACAAGCCTTAAAGTGGCCAAGTTTGGGGACCTCTGGACTAAGTCACCCAGCTGGCTTTCACGGCTAAGGCAGGACTAGAACTCTCCACCTCCTAGTGATTGGCGCAAAGCCACCCAGCTGTTTTCACCTTAAGGCGGGACTCGAACTCCCCGTCTCCCGCTTTCTAGGCAGGCGCCTTAACCGCTAGACCAAACGGCCGACCGGAGACTCACCTGAGGAACTCCAGATCGTCCCACCCGTTGTGGATGAGCCCTTCCTCGTAGCGCTCCATGCCGATGGCGCTCAGCCATTCCCCGACGCTGGACTCGCTGCGCCTGCAGCCGGCACTCTGGCCCTCCTGGGTCAGGCTCTGCGAAGGGGGAAGGAGCCGCAGGAGGGACCGGTCAGGGAGCAGGCCTGGACACCCAAGCAGCCCCACCCTTCTCGGCCCAGGCGGAACAGGGGTTGGGGGTGGGGGCCAGAAGGATCCTGGCGTCCCCCTCCCCAATGTGACCCCCCCCATCTCTGCAGAAAGCATCTGGATTCTGGGCTAGACTACAAAAACCATCCATAGAGGCCAAGGCAGAAGGTTTCAAGGAAGGCAGGCGAGATCTGTTACCAAGGCACCTTAAGTCCAAACCCAGCAGAAAATGACAGGCAGTCCTCGACTTACAGATAACAGATAGTTGGAAGGGACCTTGTAGGCCATCTAGTCCAACCCCCTGCCCAAGCAGGAGACCGTACACCATTGCAACGGGTTGCTGGGCAATTTTTGGAAATTAGGACTCACCTCTTCGGCCTCTTCGATGCTCTCCCGGATGGAGCGCGCAGCAAAGCCCCCGGGGCGGCTGTAGTCGGGCGGCAGGCAGCGGTGGGCCAGATCCAGCCGGACTTTGCTCAGTGGGTGGGAGGGGGGCCGGCCCGCCTGCTCCCTCCCCAGGCCGCCCCCGCTGGAGTACTCCACTTCGCTGAGGGTCTTGGCCATCTGGAGCACGGAGCAGGAACGGTCGTCCAGGAGGCCCGGGCCGACCTGGGGTCCGGTGGGGGCGTCCAGGAGGTACCCCGCCCCCAGGGATGGGGCCGGCCGGGGATGCAGCTTGGGGGGCTTGGTCTTGAGGGGCTCGCTGAAGACCACGGTGGCGCGTGGCTTGCCGGCCGCCTGGTCCTCTCCTCGGCCGCCCACCGGGGTGTAGAGGGGCCCCTCCGCCATCTCCAAGGCCACCGATTTGGGCAAGGGAGGGGGCGGGAAGTCCGGGGGCGGCAGGTTGAGGACCCCTGCCTCCTCCTCTTCGGCGTTCTCCTCAGCCCGTTGGGCGGGCGGCTGGGGGCAGCGCCAGGACTCCAGCTGGATGGGCACCGTGATCTGGACCTTGTTCCGGGGGGCGGGGGGCTTGGCCGAGGTCGCCAGGGACAACTCCGGGAGGAGGAGCTGGTGTGGGACCCCCTCCAGCACGTAATAGGCGGGGTTGTTGAAGCTGTTCTTCACTGGGGGGGCCTCGGGGTCCATAGCCCCCTCCTGCTTCGACCTGCACAAGAGGAGAAGGGGGGGTGTCATTCAGCCCTGCAGAAGCCCCCTCCCCCCGGCTGCACCGCCAGGCCCTTCCAAAACCGGGCATGCTCCCCCAAAAGGACGGAGACCCCCAGCCTTTCATGGTTCATGGGAAGCCAAGGCACCTTGGAAGTGGCACCTTGGCCTACGAAGGGGAACCATGAAGGAACCTGTCCATGGAGGTTCTCAGCCATCCAAGTCGTGGTTGTCCCAGAGGTGCTTTCTCCAAAAGGCAACCAGACTTTATTTTTCCTTGAAGAGGTTTCGCTTCTCGTCCCAAGAAGCTTCCTTCTGTTCTGACTGAATGGTGGAGGATGGAAGGATTTGTATTCCTTGCAGACATCTGGTCGTTAGTGCTCTTTCTGAGAGTCATTGGAGGTTTATCCATGTATGAACCTGGGCACTTATCTGGGCACAGATAAACCTCCAAGTGGCCTCAGTGACCCTCAGAAAGAGCACTAACAACCAGATGACTGCAAGGAATACAAATCCTTCCATCCTCGGCCATTCAGTCAGAACTGAAGGAAGCTCCTTGGGACAAGAAGCGAAACCTCTTCAAGAAAAAACAAAGTCCAGTTGTCTTTTGAAAGAAAACACCTTTGGGACATGAAGGAACCTGGAAGGTAAAACCTACGAGGAATGGAAGCTTGGAACATAGATTTGTAGGGCTGGAAGGGACCTCAGAGGTCTTCTAGTCCAACCCCATGCTTGAGGCAGGAGACCTTATGCTGAACTTTAAGACTTGTGGACTTTAACATGGCTGGCTGGGGAATTCTGGGAGTTTAAGTCCACAAGGGTTATAAGCTGCCAAGGTTGGGCACCCCTGCCTTAAACAGAATGCGGGACACCACAAGTGAGATGGGTGGCATATAAATTTAATTAAATAAATAAAATAAACCACGGTGGTGCAGTGGTCAGAGCGCAGTACTGCAGGCTCCTTCCGCTGCCTGCCGGCTGCCTGCAATTTGGCAGTTCGAATCTCACCAGGCTCAAGGCTGACTCAGCCTTCCCTCCTTCTGAGGTGGGTACAATGAGGCCCAGATTGTTGGGGGCAAGAGGCTGACTCCGTAAACCGCTTAGAGGGGGCTGGAAAGCACTGTGAAGCGGCATATAAGTCTAAGGGCTCTTGCTATTGGGAAGTCAAAACATCCTCAAAGGTCCATCTCATCCTGGGCACCCTTTTTTTTGGAACTATTACCATCTGGCAGACGGTACAGGACAATAATAAAAACAAGGACAAATAGACAGTAGTTCTTTTGAATTCTACTGCATAGTGCAATATTCATGCAATAGCAGGGGTTTTCCGTTCAATGTGTAGAGTGTGAAGGATGTGTGTTTGTGTTCATTTTCATGGTCACGATGTGCCCTGAAGATGCTGTTTGATTTCATTATACGAGGTGCAAGGACAATAAAGTAAAAAGTAAAGTAAAAAGTAAAATTAAAGTAAAGTAAAGAACTAAAGTAAAGTCAGGTAAAAGGTAAAGTAAAAAGTAAAGTAAAAAGTAAAGTCAGGTAAAAAGTAAAGTAAAAAGTAAAATTAAAGTAAAGTAAAGAA